GTATTTTTGTATTTGTCCCCCCTTGGGAAACATTCCATGGATGCCGATCGATGCCACTTGTATATACCTCGGTACCAGGGAGAATGCCGATGTGACACTGTAGCTTGGTGTAGCCCCTTATGTCTAGCCTGGAAGGCGCGCTGGCCCTCGTTGTAACCTGGTGTAGCCCCGCTTGCGTGGCCCAGAGGGGGGACGGCCTTCATCGTATCCTGGTGTAGCCCCGCAAATTTGGCCCAGAGGGCGGTGCGACTTTCGCCGTAACCAGGTGTAGCCTTGGTGTGGCCTCGAACTGAGCGGTTTGCTGAGGGCCTTCCTGGCCTGGAGGGCGATCCGGCCTTCGTCGTAACCTGGTCTAGCCCCTCTCGTGTCCGGTTGTTCCACTCTGTCTCCGCTCCCCTCCGCCTCGACTCCCCGCTTCCGAAAACAAACGTTGCTTGCATAGTAGGTTCATCACATGTCGCCGGTCTCATGAGGCCATCTTGGACCATATTGCGCCATTTTGGAGGCCATCTTAAAGCAATTGTGGCCCTCTCGGCACCAGAGGGTGTGCGCAAGGGATGGTCCCCAAGTGCGGTTTGTTTCCACGCCAGGCTCGGCGTGTCAGGTGTGGCTTGTTCGCAACCCAAACAGGGTGCGCCGTGCGCACGGAGTGGTCCCTGAGCGCAGTCTCTATCCACGCTGGGGTCGCAGGGCGTGGCAGGCGTGGCCTGACGCCAAGAGGGGGGTCGCAGGAATCTGCCCCTGCACGCAGGGCGCCAGGGCGGTCGCGGGGACGTCTCCAGCGATCCAGTTTGCCACGCCTTCCTTTTGTTTTCTATAGGCGCACTACAGCGCTGGGGACAATCATTTCTTTACCTGTCTCCCAAAAATAATTGTTATATCAGTTTTTAGACATTACGGGACGCCCGAGGGTTCCCGGGCGGCTCCAGAGGACGCAAGGACCGACCGACTCAAGACCGCCCAGATTATCCCAAGGGCGGCCAAGAAGGAGGTGATGACTAGGGGGGGCGGATATCATGGCGGGGGCCATGATGTTTCCTCCGATTTCATGGCGCGTCTCCTTATTTCAAATATTTCATTACGTCCCTGGACACCCTCTGGGCCGCGCACATGCCGCCGGCCATGATTTGCGCCCCTCCCGGACGCTCCCCTCTTGGCCGCCCCCGAAAATTGTCCCAAGAGTTATCTGGCGCGCTGTCGAGATGCCCTCGGTCGCCGAGACGCGGGGGCATTTCGACAGAGCAGAGCGCCGACGCAAGCTGAGTCGAGGGGGGGTTGGGCGCTGCAGGAGCAGGTCGCCTCCTCAGAAACGGGAACATATACATTACCAGTGGCGCGTTGTTATTCAAGCCCTGGACTTTTTGAGGGTCAAGGACGATGTCGGGGTGGTGTGGTGTATATTTGTTTCCCCGTTTTCCGGGGGAAAGGTCTTAACACGTATACACCAACATCCCGTATACAGCAGGATTTGCTTCCTTGTGCGAGTTTCAGTGCAGGGCCAGAACAAATGTCGGTGAATAGAGCTCGGTTCCCTACTTCCCTGGTGCGCGGGTAGCCGCGCCGCCCCGAACGACGCCGTCATCGACAATGCATTCTTGGCCCCATTGCAGGCACACCCTGCAGCGCCGCCACAAGCCGCCGAAGTCGCCAGCGCGCTCCAGGGCCGCACCCGCGCCCAAACGCATGGCTTGGCATCGCATCAGGGAACGCCCGCGGCGCCGACGCAATGTTTACTCTCAAGTTGTTACGAGTCGATTATGTATGATGGCTGCATGGGCGCATCCCTGCTTTTTGGCAGATTTTGACATGCTCACGGAGGCGCGCAAGAGTGACCTGTTTTGTGCGTGTTTGGGGTTGGCACAACACGCAGCTGCTATTCGGGCGGGCCTGAACAAACAGCCCGACAGCGTACTGCGATTTACAAGGGTGACACAGGGGGTGGCGGTGCCGGCCTGGCCAGCGCAGTCGTATGATAGGACGTCAAAAAAAAAGAAAGATGTTGTACCATTGTTGCCGGGGAAGCGTATGCTCGGGTGAGGGAGGATTTGTTCTGACTGCGGAGTTGGGATCGAGGCGAACTCGGTGCGGAAGAGTGGATATGGATCCAATGTCTAGCGGCGTGACCGATGTGGTGTGCAACCTGCGTGGGCAAACTGCCTGCTGCAACTCATCGTGCGCTCGCGGTGGCGCGCTCGTGGTCAAGAGCGAGCGGTTGCGCGATGAAGGAGTGATTTCAGATCGCGCGCGCGCGTGGCCCGCATCGGCCCGTCTGACAGAACTGGGCAGCGTCTTCTGCCACAGTTACACAGTGCACGGTTTCAGCGGATGCGCGTTAGCGGATATTTCGTCGTCTGTTTCCACCGGAAGCCATTCGTTTGGGAAGTTGTTTGACATGCGTTGGTCGCGATGTGGTATTTGATGCGGGTTTTGCGCTTATGCGTTTTGGGTCTCAAAGTGTTATTTGGTCGGGACGGATGGGAGATGACAGGACCAGTTGGGATGGTGCGGTGTCTTATCGGATGCACGGTCGTGTGCAATTGATCGGTCTGGGTGTGGAGCCATGCGTTCAACAGAAGCGAGACTTGACGTGAACTATTGTGTTGCAACGTGTCGTTTGCGATCTACCAGGTTTTCACCGCCCACCAAACCACCCCAGCCCAAGCCGAAGACCCCGATCTACCCCCCCTTTCCAGTGTGGGGGGGTCGGGGAACAATGAACAAGAACACGTATGAAGCCCGCACCCTCCAACCCGAAATTCGGGTGTCTGGGTTGGGTTGGGGTTGTCTGGTAGGTAGTCAGGCTCAAGTTGTGTGATACGATTTTCGCGGCGCATGGGAGGCGCAAGCGTCGGGCAGCGCGCGGCCGATCAGCCGCCGTGGAAAAATATCTGGACCGCGAGATGTCGGCGGCGACTGGCCGAAGGCCCGAACAGAAAACCCGATCCAGGCGACCGACCGAACATGTCCGACAGCCTTAGCTAACACGCACAGTATACGGGCTAACGGCGGTGTAGGTGACAGCGATGTCAGTTTCGGTAGCGGTAATGTGTGTAGTGTCGGTTTCGGTAGTGTGTTATTGTATTCGTCTGTCGGCTTGGCGTCGCACCGTGACCATTCGTCGGCGCGCTCGTTTCCCTGATGTAGTATTCGTGTTGCAGTTTCAACATGCATGAGCCGCATGTCCTTCAAAGACAGCCCAGGGACATGTCCGGCGAAGCCCGACGGGAACAGCAGCGCACAGTTGCCCGCCTCGGAGGCTCAGTCGGCCAGTGGGGATAAGGCCATGCTGGTGGGGATAGCCGTAGACGGGCTAACGGCGGTGTAGGTCACGGCGATGTCATTTTCGGTAGTGTGGGAACGAGTGGCTCGCGCGTTCCTGCAATTTTCAGTATCGTGTTCGCTCGATGGATTCGCAGATTGGAAATGCAAGAAAGTGTTGTTCGCGGTTTCCTACAATTTGGTTCCCAACGTCACCGTCAAGCAACATCGCCGTTAGCCCGGCCTTGGACAAGAGGCCGCCACGGACGACCAGGCAAAAGTCTCATATCCCAACCACTTCATTACAGGGCAGGCTTTTTGTTTAGTGCAGCCGCGTGTTGGGCAAAGGGGACGATGCGTGCGGGGAGGAAAAAGGCGAGGACGACAGATGAACAAACGCAATGAACTTGTGTGGGGGCAGGAGGATGCGGAAACGCAGTAAGGGGAATCTGATGATTATGATGGGGTTGCAGTTTCCCCGCTCGGCTTTGCACCTACCATCATCTTCCCCATTCCAGCGTTGCATCTTTCACAGGCGGCAGGGGCATCCTGATCAGAAAGCGTTTGAATAAATTGAAGCCGAAGAAGAAATCTGTGATTGTATGTTCATACATGTGGGAAGAGTGCCAGGGGGACGCGGAGCATGAATAGGGGGACGATCGGGAATACAGAACAGATCAGGAATAGAGGGGGAGGAAGGGGCGGGATGCGACAAGGGGCAGCGGCAGGGTCGAGGGGGAGGGTCGGCGTCGGGGGACGACGCCGCGCAGTGACCGTGACGACGACACCGACGACGACGACGACGACGACGACGACGACGACGACGACGGCGGCGGCGGCAACGACGACGACGACGGGAGCCGCGCCGAGGTGCCGTGGGAGCAGGCGGAGGGCGCAGCCGAGGCGCCCGCCCGCCTTGCCGCCACGCAGGTCCGCGCCCCCCTTGGGGCCGTGGGGGCCGCCCCTTCGGGGTCGCCGCCGCCGCCGCCCGCCCGCCGGCCGGCCAGCTGGGCCGCGACGGCGGTGGGGGCTGGAAGAGGCGGGGGTCAATGCAAGCGGGGGTCAGCCAGAGCGCCCGATGTTGCAGGGTCCTGCAGGGCCAGGGTCGCACTGGCCCGGGCTTGGGTGCAGGATCCTGCGGGATCCTGCAGGATCGTTCGTATCGACCCGGGTTTGGGCGCAGGATCTTGCAAGATCCCGCAAGGCCTGACTGACCCGGGTCTGGATTGACCCGGGTCAGAAGACCCCCGAGGCAGTTGTCGCCGCGGGCGTCTTGGTTGGGCGGTTCATCGACGGCGTCGCCGTCGTCGCTGCTCTGGTCGTCGTCGTCGTCGCTCTCCTCGTCCTGATGTCCCCCCTTGTCGGGGAGGCGCGGCCATGGGTCGTGGTCGGCGTCCTGCTCCTTCGTCCCCTTCCCCTTCCCCGCGTCCAGGATCAATCGGGGGAGGGGGGGAGGAGAAGGAGATGGAAAGGGGGGGCGGGGGAGGTAGGAGGGGGAAGGGGTCGGGGGAGGAGGTCGGGGCAGAGAGGGGGCATAGAAGAGCGAGGAGTATATAGGACAGGGGGAGGGAAGAGGGAAGATGGGGGGTGGAAAGGAGGAGTGATTTAAGGAAGGAGGAGGGATGAGGGATGAGGAAGACAATGAAGGAATGGAACGATGAGGCTCTTGAATATTGGTGGATGCGTCCTGATGTTTTCTGGATGTCTTTGTTCAGAGATCTTCATGATATGGGGGGGGGGGT